AGAAGTTGATATTGGGCAGAATATGTACAGGAAAGACATTTGTCTTTTTTAGTTGAGGCAGTTCAAAAGAAAAAAATGTTTAAAACCATAGGAAAATTGTTTAATATGTAAATTGATTTAGGAACAAATCTTCCTTAACATTTGACTTAATTATTTTCAGACATTAAGGTAGGGAAACTCACATCATTGGTATAGCCCTTTGGTTCACTTACCACTTTGGGTGGCCCCTAGTCCTTATCTTCTGTCCCTTTTATATTGATTGGCCATAGAAACTAAGCCAAAAAATGCAATATAGATAAAAATCACAATGCAAAAACAGCTTTATTGTACTAATATTATTCTTACCTATTTGGTCACAGTTTTATATGAAAAAAATTGGTATGAGACTAACCCTCACCAAGTATACACAGATACCCTTTTTTCAGAAACAGTAAAAAAACAGAATGACTGTGAAAGTTAAATATTAAGAAGAAACCTAATTAGCTACAAGCATAGTAGTTAACTAGAGATATATGACTAGACATACATCCCAGGTACTAGAACTTGGATTTTATTGACCATTAAAGGACTTCTGATATGGCCACTTGAGATAGGGACTGAGTGGAAGTCCTAGCATATACCCAGACCTAGAAAGACTGTGCCTCTTCAGTGAAAGGGAATCTAGAAAAGTTTAAAGAAACAACAGAACAGCTTATCTCTGACCAAAACTATATATAGACCTGGAATTACCTGCCATAAAGAAAATCCACAAACTGGGACATTAACATACAAATATTACCTCAAGGACTAAACTTTTGTTCCCCCAAGAGAAACAATTGCAAAACCAACCTGGCAAGTCTTCCACATACAAGGTAATATAAAAAAATTCATTACTGATAAAGATGGGCACAGTAAAAATCTTACACACCACATTAAAAAAAAAACAATCCATCACAAAGGATAATTGAAACTATATGGTCATCAATATTTGAGGTCATAGAAAAACATGAAAGAGTATAAAATCTGTATTTAAACAGAAATAATTTAATAGCCATGTAAAAGGAATGTCATGAAAAATGATAGGTAGAATTGGAAAAGAATGTAAGAAAACATCTACAAATGAAAGTTATAGTAATCAAAATTTTAAAAATAAGAAAAGGCAAGGCATAATGGTGCATGCCTGTAATTCCAGCAACTCAAAAGGCTGAGGCAGGAGGATCACAGAAATTATTAAAACAACCATTGAGAAATTGTTAAAGCAACCATTGAGAAAAACCAGATCAACCTACAAAAGAATTGTTATTATACTAATAGTGACTTCGAATTAGCAACAATAGATGCCCACAGTTGCATAATATCTTCAAAGTGCTGAAGAACTAACATATATTATACTTCTTTCCAGTGAAGAGTATAAAAACAAAATAATCACGTGTTCAGGCCGAGACTAGCTCACTAAAAAGAACTTCTATAACTATGTCTCAGAAAAGTTGAACCCCAGGGGAAAACTCAGATGGTTTGTTAAGAGATATCTACTAATTCTTCTAGGAGTAGACTATTATATAAAGTGTTCTAGAGAATTAAATAAGAAAACTCAGTTTTTACAAGTCAAGTTCACCATTGATAACAAAACTGAAAAGTATATCCCAAGAAGAAAAAAAGTCAACCACAGCAATCTGAAATGAAATATTTTTAAAACAAATTAAATAATCTTTATTTTGCCATATGCATATTACCACCAACCTAGTCACCTTATTTCTCTCCTGAGCTATCCAATAATCTGCCAACTAGACTTCCTGCTTCTTGCCCTGGCCTTCTTAGAGTCTGTTCTTAACTTAGCAGGACGCGTGAACATATATTAATGTAAGAGAAATCTTCTAGAAACTTTCCATTTCACTCATACTTCATATCTCATCTAGTGCTCATTATATCATTCCTGCAACAGGATTCTCCCTACTGCTATTTAAACACGCTTCTATCTTGGGGTCTTTACACTTACTGTGCCTTCTTCTTCAGTTACTCCTTCCAAAGATAAGCAAGATTTATTGTTTTATCATCTTAGGGTCTTCATTCACTTATCTTTTTCTTCATTATGTCTTTATTATTTTAAATTGTTAAGCATTTCCTTACCAACTCTTTAGACACTTCCTACTCTCTGTTCTGGCTTTGTCTGTAACATTTTTATCTTTATCGTACTATATATTTCATTTATTTATTTATTGTCTCTTTTTTCCCAACTAGAAGATGGGCTTCATGAGGACAGAAATTTTTATCAACTTTGTTGAATGCTGTATCCTCCATAATCCCATAATCTGAAACTGCCTGGCATGGAATAATTGCTTAATAAATATTGGCTGAATAAAAATGCACTGAAGAGTAGGTGTTTCTTGAGGGAGAAAAGAAGAGCAAGATTCAAGGGGAGACATATGTTTTATAGTGTGTTATATCTCTTTCTCTCTTTTCTTTTTTTGATACTGTGGATAGAACCCAGGGCCTCATGCATATTAGGCAAGTGCTCTGTCACTGCGTTACATCCTCAACCCTCATGTTGATTTCACAAATCCGAAGGAATTGTGAAAGATTTATTTACATTTGTTAGATTTGATGATAGGTATAACAATTTCCATTCTATTATTACCTTCCCTCTTTATATGTGAAATGACAAATTTTTAAACAATTAAAACATGTATAAAGATCATACTGGTGGGATATTAAGTAAACTTCAGATATAAAGGGTAGATTTTGAATAGAGAAGAAACTATTTCTCTTCTATTGTCTACTTTTTAAATATTATATAAAATTATAAAATGACTACAATATAATAATTACTAGTGAATAAAGAGTTACATGTTCTGCATCAAAATACATAAGTTTCAAAATTAAAGATTATAGAAAAAAGCAAACTGGAAGAAATTATACATGAGTATATGATTGTAGGGAGGGTATTAGATTTTTTTAGTGTAAAAGTAAATGAATAAATCATATAGGATTAAATAAATCTAAATAAACCTTAATATGGTTAAATATAAATTTATATAAATACAAATCTCAAGAATGTATTTGACAAGAACATTTTTATATTTTGTGCGCTCTTCAAAACTATTTGGTTCACATAATTTGAGTCTCAAATCAATGTTTAAATTTAAACAAAAGAAAATAAGTTCAACTTTTATTTTTTGAGCAAAATGAATGATTTTTTTTAATTTTTGCATTATGTAGATGGGGGAAAAACTTTCTTTTGAGGTTATTCCACATTTACTTGAAATAAAAATAGGTGGTCAGATAACTTGCCATGCTCCCTTACTTTTTTGATATATACCCCTGATGTTTTCACCTTCATTCCTTTTCTTTTATATTCTTTCTTTTTCCAGCTTTAGCTTAGAAAATCATGTATCCCAAACACACCCAACTCAACTGTCATCAGCTTCATGAAACATACTTCTTCCATTATCAAAATTATCCATTTTTCCTTTGAGCTGTCATGGGTTATATTTAGTCATTCCATTATAATACTTAATAATTTGGTGTTAAAATTTATTGAAAATATAGAGGATAATTCTGATACAGAAGATATCTACTGAACTATGATACTACTGTGCCTTATTCATTTTCATGGCTCATGAGTTTTGTCTTCACGACATAACCAACACTACATGCTATAGGCTAAAAAGGACAGGTGTTAGATTGAATGTAAATCTGTTACATGTTGTAAATTCAAATAAAAGCTAAGTGATACATGTCACAAAACTTTCACAGTAATTTTTTTTAAATGTGGTCAGTTAAGTTTTCATTTAGCACATGATGGAACTGAACATGGTAATGTAAAAGGATATACTACTGAATCAGTCAGTATTATATTTGTAGATTTTTTAGCTTCAACAAAACTATCTGCTAAATTAAATTAATATTAATTTGAAATGTCTTGATATTGTGGTTACTTTATTTCCTTTATAAAGGTGTTTGTGCTTTATACTTTATTTTGTATGCATGAGATGTGTATACTCACTGTTATATTTGTATACAAGTGTCATGTAATCTAAGTCAGTATCAGGAGTCTGGTTAGACTTTTTCATTTAAAAGCTTTATATATTGCTCAAAGTTAGGAAACATCAGTACAGACTGCTTAGTATTATAGAGGTCAGAGGCAGAAGAAATCAATATTAGGATAGTAAGAAACACCAATTTGATTGTATTATGAAACTAATTTTTTTATTCATTGTCAAATAATCTGGAAAGAACTTTGTTCAGATCTTGAATCAATATGTGTTCTTGGTACTTAAATATCCTAATTGAAAATAAAATAAGGAGTGATTTTTAACTTTTTTCTAAAACTTTGGTTTAGTAGTTTATTCCTTTAACCAATCTTCTAAATGTCTTTATACTGTCCTGATTGGCAATCTATCAGTTTATAACCTGTATGACTTTGTGTGAAATGGTTTAGATTTCTTTAAAAATCTGAAAAATCTCTTTTTTTTGGCGGGGGGGGGGGTATTTTAATCTCAAGTATAGCATAGGTTTGCTGGTTTTTATTTTGGCTATTTAAGACAGGATTGTTTCTCTGCAACATGAAATATCTCTTAATGTATATTTTATGGATTATTTTTATTTTAAAACATTAATAAAAATCAGTCATAGAATATAATATTGTGGTGTATTTTGAATCTAATGAGAACCTAGAAGCATACTTCTATACAACCAGCACATTATAAAATCAGAACAATTAATGAAGAAAATAATTTTGAATATAGTTTGACCTTAATTATTTTTTAAAAATAAGTATTTTGTGATTTATGTCATAATATTTAGAATAAGAAGGCTAACTGAAAATTGTGATTTAATTACCAGAGTACTATATGTAATGTTATTTTGTTTGTATTCAGTATTACTTTTACTTACCATTCTTGTTACAAAACAAAACCTTGTCTTTTAGAGAATACAGTGGTATTATTTACATTAATTCATATGGCTTGGTGAAAAAAAATGCTATAACTCCTTTACTTAATGGGATTCTTCCCCTGTGGCAGTGCAAACGGCTAGAGCAGGAGCTTCATCATCTGAAAGAGCAGAACCAGACTTCAGCAAACAACATGAGACATCTGACTGCTGAAAACAATCAAGAACGTGCTCTGAAGGTAAATCTCCGTTCCTTCTTGCAGGCAAATTAAGGTTGTAAGCCTTTGGTGCCAGCTTTCTGTGCTGCATATATCAGTTGTGTACATTTCAGCAGAAGTGAGCTGTGGTGTTTGCCAACAACCCCTTCTTTAAACACAGATACAGCACCCTTCTGTTATGGTATTATTTTATTTCATGTATGTGTACGTGAAAACAACATATTTTCTGAATTTTGAGTAGTGTATTAATAACTTTTAGTACCTATTTATTCTTTTTTTTCTTCAGTTTTTTTATATTATTACCTTTTATAGTTAATTAAAAAAAGTAACTTCACTGAGAGGAAAAATTAAATCTTGGGCCCTTTCTATTAAAAATTATAATAATTTTTAAAATGAGTTGTCACAGGAGTATCCCACAGAATTGACACTCCTGAAGCATATGTGGAGTGAGTTTGGGAACTGAAAGAGTACTTAGAGTGTTACAACAAAAAAGAAAGAGTTGGGCTGGCTTTGTGGCTCAGCAGTAGAGTGCTCTCCTAGCATATACGGGGTGCTGGGTTCAATCCTCAGCACCACATAAAAATAAAATAAAGGTATTGTTTTTAACTATAACTAAAACATAATATTTAAAAAAATAAAGAGCTAATATATTCAACTAGAACCTGAAACAAGTGAGGAATATATTATATGATAAATTGTCATTGTCGTATAGATTCAGTAATTGTGAAAAAGCACGTTGTTTTGATTCTGGTAATTACATTTTTTTCTTCAGATGCTTGTGACTTTCTATTCTATCTTTTTGTTTTTCCCTGGATTCCTATTATAATGCATGTGACACAATAATGGCCTCTACCCTCAAGGTGCTTGCATTCTCAGGAACAGGTTAAAGAAAATCCATGGAAAACAAAAGATTTATCATTGTTTTATTGTATAGTAAGAAAAGATTTGCTACCAAGAGGATTATATTGTTCTTTCAAATTCACTTTTTGGTGCAGATTGCAAATACCATGGTATTAACAGGGTCATACACTAGGCCAGAATTAAGAATCTCACTAACAAAATTGAGAAAAGTATTTTTTAGTCTGTCAATAAAGTGGGAGGTTTAGTAGAAGTCAGATTTTTCTACAAAATATGTTTAACTTCATTTTGAAATTCTTAGTGCTAAGCTTATAATAACTTTGTTTTTTAGTACACGTATTTTCTCTTATCTCTGATTGAATTTTTAGTTAGACCAGAAAGATAAGTGAGAAAAGAGAGAATTATAGATTGCTATGATTGTTCTTATTTACTTCCAAGGAGTAGACTCTTTTATGAAAACTAAATACTACAATGTTTTAAATGTTACCTGCAAAATGGAAAACATTATTTTTAAGGCAGCTTCCAGAATGCATGCTAAATTATCACCATCAGGGGAGAGATTTCATATAATATGATTGTTTCCATTTAAAACAGGACCTCAATTTAAAAATTCTAGTTTGTTAAGTATATAGTTATTGCATGGCCTTTGTTCTGGTATTTTGAGTTGTATGTTTAGGTTAAATTTAATTAAATGGTGCTTCAATTATGAAAAGAAATAGATGCACAATTCTAAGAGATCATTAAAATTAGAAGAAAATAAGTACACCAAAAGAAACTCACAAGTTCAAAACAAAAACCAGACCACTATACAAGAGCAGTTTCTATAGAGCATAAAACTTAAAGTAATACATAAATATAGCTCGTTTTTACTCCTGAAAAATGTACTACATTAGTATTTTCTAGTTTCTCATCTTTTTATGCAAAAATTTCAGATTTTTGAGCTTTTTGTTAGTCCTTGATAACCTCATCCATTAGCTAAAGCCAGCTTAAATTCTTGGTAGAGTAAGGAAAGGAAGAAGAATTAGTTTTTGGAAACTCTCTCATCAACTCAGTCTTTCATAAGCCTCTGTATTCATTTAGGCTCTTTTAAAATGTCCATCTTATGTGACACCGACTTTGAATTATTTTTAGTCATTTTAAACCATATTTCATCATGAGAAACTCTAAATTTATTATGAAAATTGGATTGTTTATAATGTATCTGATTTTTTCTAAATCATATTTTAAAAGTTTTTCTTACCTTTCAGGAATTTTGTTGTTTGGTGCTTTTAAAAATATACTGCTCTATCTGTAAGTTATCCTAGAAGCTTTGAATAATAAACTCTGCTTTTTTGTATGCTTATCTTTTTCAACCCATGTACATATATCATTTTTGTTAACTGATTTAATATTTAGTTTATATCTAAATCAGCATTAAGAGCAATGTCAAAGTTTTCAGTCTACCAATAATATATTTATTATAAATAATATTGTTATGAATATTACTAATAGTGGTAGATTTGGATAGAGTAGGAATTGAAAAATTCAACTTGTTTACTGATCTCACTGAACTTTCTAAAAAAAAAACAGTTCTTTGTGTGTGTGGAGAATTTTATTTGACAGATAACATACACATTGTTCTTGTCCAATTTAAAAAAATTTTTATTAGTATTTTTTAGATACACATGACAATAGAGTATATTTTGACATTTATGTAAACATGGAGTATATTAGAATAAGGAAGAGTTCTAGGAATATGCTTGGGGAAGAAAAAATCTTAAGTTAATTGTCAACCATTCTTTCCAAATTGAAGATTTCAGCATCATCATAATTACTTACAAGGAAATACTTTTCAATAATCTAGTGTCATTCAAATAATAATGTCTTTGTTTATTCTAATAACTGGAAAATTCTTCCTAATTTTTTTATGGTAAAGCATACAAATACACTTGGTCATTTATAAACATTCTATTTGGAGTAGCAAGGAGTTATACTAAGTGAATTTATTAGATATGGCACGTTTTTCTCCTAGTTTTATATATTTAAAAAAAATTCCCTAATAAAAGGTAAAACAGAGAGGTACCTACAGTGTGAGGAACTGAATTATACCAATACTTGTATATATAGAGGTTTGAGGGTGGGTTTTTTTTGTTTGTTTGTTTTTACAAAAAAAAAAAAAACCTTATTTATTTTCTCATTTAAAATAAATTGTATCCACTGACATTAAGAAATTGGATTCCTGGGACCGGGGTTGTGGCTCAGCGGTAGAGGGCTAGCCTAGCACGTGTAAGGCCCTGGGTTCAATCCTAAGCATCACATAAAAATAAATAAATGAATGAATGAATAAATAAATAAATAAAGGTATTGTGTCCAACTACAATTGAAAAAGAAATTGGATTCTTGAAAACACATTTGTGGTCATTTAATGGTTTAGAAATAAATTTAGATTAACCTTAAATATGTAGACATTGAACTTTTTTTAAAGATTTTTTTAAATTGGACATAATATCTTTATTTATTTTCATGTGGTGCTGAAGATTGAACCCAGTGCCTCACATGTGCAAAGCAAGCTCTCTGCTGCTGAGCTATAATACCAGCCCGACATTGAACTTAATAAGACAGTTTATGTACATTACCTTTCTTCTTTTTATTTTACCAATTGCCTTATCACACATCTTTAACCTCCTACAATTGGAGTTCTTTAATATAATTCTGTTAAAAGCCATTCTTTCTTAGATTATAAGTGACCTTTGATGGTAAATAAACCATTATCTATTCATTATTCATTATCATGTCCAACATCCTAATTAATGTAATGATAACAGATTTCAATGTTATTGGCTCTTCAAATACTCATTCCTAGTTCTCTGTTGCTGTGTCTTCATCATTTTTCTCTTCTTTGAAACTCAAAGTTTCACTGCCCCTAAAATTCTCTGTGTCCTCCCTATTCATCCCTTTCAATCCTCTGTTCCCTGACAACCACTGATGTTTTTACTCTCCATAGTTTATGTCTTTCAGAAATTACACAATACTTATAGTCCTTTCAACATTTGTTTTTTGAAGCCTTTATATCTAATTGCTTTTTAAGGCTAAATAATACTCCATTATTAAGTGTACCACAGTTTATTCATTCATCTACTGAAGGACCTCTTGGTTGCTTACAATCTTTGGCAGTTTTGAATAAAGCTCCTCTAAACAACTGTGTGCAGGTTTTTGTGTGAATGTAAGGTTTTCAGCTCATTTGAGTAAGTTCCAAGGAATGTAATTGCTGGGTCATATGGGAAAATTATGTTTAATTTATGTAAGAAATTGCCACTTTCTTCCAAAGTAACTGTACCATTTGCATTTCCACCACTGATGAATGAGAATTCCTGTTGCACCAAATTCTCACCAACAGGATGTTTCTTATCTCCAAACATAGTCTCCTTTGTATGCCTCTGCTATAGAACTGTTGAAAAGTTAAACACTTTCTCATCCTTTCTTTTTGCCAGTGAGACATTAAAGGGAGTGTACAACAGGGGTAGGGGAAGAGAGAGGGTGCCTTGGGAGTAGTTTTTGTTTTTCTAATGTAAGGCAGATGAAACAAGCAATATCACTCCTTCCCTTCTTACTATCGTGAACACTTACCTGCTCTCTGAAACTTTAGCAACCATTTTACAGTCATGAAGAGAAGGCTGAGAAAAGTCATTCAACATCCTTGAGCCCCTTAGCCAACGAGCACTTAGAGAACATTAAGCCCTTTGACTTTTGGGGGGGGAGGAAGAGAATATAAAACTATGTTTAATGTAATTCTTAATAGTTTTCTATTATTTACTCTCCACTTGATCCATCAATATCAGTTAATTAATGGTACTGCCATTCTCCTAGTAGACATGTAGGCCATAGTAAATGACGAGATCTTCATATCCTTCCACACTCTCACCCACCTTGAAAACAGTTTGTCTTTTAGTTCCATCAGCTATGTAGCAGTTTTTTTCTTTCTGCCTTCATTTTCATTTTATCTTAAGTCAGGGTCATGACTAGACAATCACAGTACCATCCTAATTTATTTGTCTTCATTTTCTCACCTCTAGAGAGGTGCCATCAGCTATTCTTCTAAAACACAGGTAAATGACCCTTCTGGGCATTAAAAAAAAAAGAAAGAAAGAAAAAGGCCAGTTGTGTTGGTGCACGCCTATAATCCC